AGAGACACACCACCTAAGGACTTGCCCTCAATAGCTTTGTAAGCCGCCGATACTCGGACGGCTTCCATCATTTCGCAACCCCGTGTGCTACACGAAACGAATCGGCGTGATCGCCGAAGAAATGCCAGCGGAAATAGGGGTTCGACCCCGATTCCTCCATCTCTAATGCGCGCATGGAGGAACCCATTGGTAGTGTCGTGTGGCAGCCCTAGCCACTTTCGCACCGATTTGCGGATTAGGAGATCGACTTTCTCCAGGTCCGCTTTACTTACCAGTCCTAGTTGCCCCGTATAGTGTAATTTGGGTAGGGCATAACGTTTTAGCAGAGTCAGCCTCTGATTCGCTGTTAGGGGGGCGTCTGTAATCTCGCATAAAAGCTTTGTAGCCATCATGCTTGACGGTTGTTTTGTGATTCCACGGTAGTTGAACCGTATACCCAGATACTGAACGCTGTCAGAGACGCTGATTGGGCCTAAAGAAAACCCCGCCTATGTTGTACGTGTGAGGGATGACACATACCGTTCCCACATTCCCCTTATAGGTGAATATGGGCGGAACAACACAGCGCAATCCTTGAACATAAGGGTCACGAGTACCCTTTCTGAACGAGATAACACTGTCACGCCTTTCTTTTAAATTTCTTCAAGCTTTTCGGAGAGTCATTACTGCTCCCACGGCTACTGAAGCCTAGGGACTTAACCTCTAAGCCAGGGTACATACAGTCCAGCACGAAGCCAGGTGCATGCAAAAATTCAACCACTGAAGCCTAGGGAGTCAACCTCTAAGCCAGGGTACATACAGTCCATCACGAAGCCAGGTGTATGCGAATTCAACCACTGAAGCCTAAGGAATTAACCTCAAGCCAGGGTATATACAGACTAGCACGAAGCTAGGTGTATACCAAAGGAAATAATAAAGGAACATGTCCTCAAATCATTACGTCAAGCAGGGATAGGATTCAATGCCCCCCTAACAAGACAGGAAGTCGTCAATTGACGATTTAGTATCCTCACGCTCATACCACAATTAGATATCGTGTCGACCCCCGTACCCCGAAATCCGGAGCACGGTTTATGGTCATCGCTCTGGCATAACACCAGACCTAATGGGCCTAGCCGAACGCATGGTCCAGTCCAGACACCAAAAGGAATACGTAAGCTTGTCCAGCCACGTGTCGGATACAGGATGTACCGTTGCAAGATTTGGATGAGAATCAGACCTTGGGGCGATCAGTCCTTCTCTTGTCCCATTGACCAGGTACATTATCAGACGAGGCCATTGGCTATAAGCCAAGCCCGTTCCCTTGGCTGTGGTTTCGCTAGATAGTAGATAGGGACTAATTAGATGACGAGGCATTTGGCTAGTAACATTTATTTTTAAGTATCAAATTGTACAGACCCAAATGGGTTTGGCACAAAATTAAATACTTAAGATGTGTAAACAAGGTGTTCTGTTACACTGAATTACAAGGATGTATCAGAGAAAAATTGAAGAAGACGAAGAAGGAGAATTGCAAGATGATAGAATTAAAAACATGTTAAGTTTTCGAAATGCACAGATGGGCAAATAGGAATAACTATAGTTATAATAATAATAATAATAAAAACAATAATAATAATAATAATAATAATAATAATAATAATAATGGTGATGATAATAATAATAATAGTCTCGTGGGTGAAGAATCAGCAAAGGACGTTGAAAATGTGGGAGAAAACGTTACAGGCTTAGTTGAGCGGGGTAATTAATGGGACAGCAATAGACAAGAAGGAGAAGACGAAAGAAAGAAGAGAGGAGAAAAGAAGAAAAAAAAAAGAGGAGGATGGAACAGTAGGGAATAAGGAGAAAGGAACAAAAACAGAATGTGTCAGTTTCCGCGCTGGTAGAGACCGGCTTCGTTATTTTATTATTTTTAACACAACTGACATGCCAGAGGTTCCGTATTTCGGTGGCCACTAGCAGAAGAGGACGAAATTCGTAGTGAATCTCGCGTCACGGACCGTTCATAGGCCCTCTCCGTGACTAAGTATACAGGTGTTAAGGATATCATAAAAGAAGTAAATGGAGGAAGAATTACAATGACAATAGAAAAAAAAATGAGGAAAGTAAAATCAATAGAAACGATGACAGAGAAACAGGAAAATAGAGAATGGAGTGTGATACAGACAAACCTAGATAGTAGAGTGCTTCTCCAAAATTGAAACGATTTGGGCATATTTAATAGCACAAGAGGACGAAATTGGTGGTGAGCTTCGCGTCACGGAACCGTTCATAGGTCCTCTTCATGATTAATTATCTAGATCCGAATGTATCAGACACAGAGTAGATGAAGAAATATTTATAATGTCAAAAAAATACGATGATGACAATGAAACCATTAAAGACGAAGATAACAGTAAACAGCAAAATAGAGAATGGAGTGTGATACAGACAAACCTAGATAGTAGAGTGCTTCTCCAAAATTGAAACGATTTGGGCATATTTAATAGCACAAGAGGACGAAATTGGTGGTGAGCTTCGCGTCACGGAACCGTTCATAGGTCCTCTTCATGATTAATTATCTAGATCCGAATGTATCAGACACAGAGTAGATGAAGAAATATTTATAATGTCATAAGAATACGATGATGACAATGGGACCAATAAAATCGAAGATAACAGTAAACAGCAAAATAGAGAATGAAGTGTGATACAGAAAAACCTCAACAGTGGAGTAGTACAATAAGAGATGGCGAAAAGACGATAGATTATATGAGAGGTGGGTGATGGATTCAAAACGAAACAGTCAAAACACACACTGTCATAATATGGTGAAAAGCCGTCTCCAACAGTCTAATATAGCGTTGTAGCATGCATAGAAACTGGTTAAGAAACACAGTGGAAGTAAATGCAGCGGCCAATAGTACAATAAAAGATGGCGAAAAGACGATAGATTATATGAGAGGTGGATGATGGATTCAAAACGAAATAGTCAAGACACACACACTGTCATAATTTGGTGAAAAGCCGTCTCCAACAGTCTAATATAGCGTTGTAGCATGCATAGAAACTGGTTAAGAAACACAGTGGAAGTAAATGCAGCGGCCAATAGTACAATAAAAGATGGCGAAAAGACGATAGATTATATGAGAGGTGGATGATGGATTCAAAACGAAATAGTCAAGACACACACACTGTCATAATTTGGTGAAAAGCCGTCTCCAACAGTCTAATATAGCGTTGTAGCATGCATAGAAACTGGTTAAGAAACACAGTGGAAGTAAATGCAGCGGCCAATAGTACAATAAAAGATGGCGAAAAGACGATAGATTATATGAGAGGTGGATGATGGATTCAAAACGAAATAGTCAAGACACACACACTGTCATAATTTGGTGAAAAGCCGTCTCCAACAGTCTAATATAGCGTTGTAGCATGCATAGAAACTGGTTAAGAAACACAGTGGAAGTAAATGCAGCGGCCAATAGTACAATAAAAGATGGCGAAAAGATGATAGATTATATGAGAGGTGGGTGATGGATTCAAAACGAAACAGTCAAAACACACACACTGTCATAATATGGTGAAAATTCGTGTCCAAAAGTCTAATATAGCGTTGTAGCATGCATAGAAACTGGTTAAGAAACACAGTGGAAGTAAATGCAGCGGCCAATAGTACAATAAAAGATGGCGAAAAGACGATAGATTATATGAGAGGTGGATGATGGATTCAAAACGAAATAGTCAAGACACACACACTGTCATAATATGGTGAAAATTCGTGTCCAAAAGTCTAATATAGCGTTGTAGCATGCATAGAAACTGGTTAAGAAACACAGTGGAAGTAAATGCAGCGGCCAATAGTACAATAAAAGATGGCGAAAAGACGATAGATTATATGAGAGGTGGATGATGGATTCAAAACGAAATAGTCAAGACACACACACTGTCATAATATGGTGAAAATTCGTGTGCAAAATTCAACCACTGAAGCCTAGGGAGTTAACCTCTAAGCCAGGGTACATACAGTCCAGCACGAAGCCAGGTGCATGCAAGAATTCAACCACTGAAGCCTAGGGAGTCAACCTCTAATCCAGGGTACATACAGTCCAGCACGAAGCCAGGTGCATGCAAAAATTCAACCACTGAAGCCTAGGGAGTCAACCTCTAAGCCAGGGTACATACAGTCCATCACGAAGCCAGGTGTATGCGAATTCAACCACTGAAGCCTAAGGAATTAACCTCAAGCCAGGGTATATACAGACTAGCACGAAGCTAGGTGTATACCAAAGGAAATAATAAAGGAACATGTCCTCAAATCATTACGTCAAGCAGGGATAGGATTCAATGCCCCCCTAACAAGACAGGAAGTCGTCAATTGACGATTTAGTATCCTCACGCTCATACCACAATTAGATATCGTGTCGACCCCCGTACCCCAAAATCCGGAGCACGGTTTATGGTCATCGCTCTGGCATAACACCAGACCTAATGGGCCTAGCCGAACGCATGGTCCAGTCCAGACACCAAAAGGAATACGTAAGCTTGTCCAGCCACGTGTCGGATACAGGATGTACCGTTGCAAGATTTGGATGAGAATCAGACCTTGGGGCGATCAGTCCTTCTCTTGTCCCATTGACCAGGTACATTATCAGACGAGGCCATTGGCTATAAGCCAAGCCCGTTCCCTTGGCTGTGGTTTCGCTAGATAGTAGATAGGGACTAATTAGATGACGAGGCATTTGGCTAATAACATTTATTTTTAAGTATCAAATTGTACAGACCCAAATGGGTTTGGCACAAAATTACATACTTAAGATTTGTAAAAGAGAGATATTCGGTTAGACTGAATTGTAAGTTTATAACGAAGGGGAAATAGAGAGAGTTTAATAGGTGGATATAATTGAGATGTTTGATTGATATTTATTGGTGTGCTGAGAGGAGTAGCCATAATATCAATTGTAGAAGTAATAATAGTAATAATAATAATAATAATAATAATAATAATAATAATAATGTTAATAATAATAATGATAATAATAATAGTAGTTGTAGTGGTGGTAATAGGAATAGTCATTATAAACACCAGATTCCGCCATGAACATATGAAGGCAATCGAAACCAAGAGGACAAACTAAGGTAGATAAAGTAATGGTCGTTAGACATGGCAAGTAAACCAAGACATAATATGACAACTATTGGAAGTAAGCGGGCAGAGCAAGCAATATGGAAAGAGAGAGAGACAATCAGACGTCAACCCAGAAGAGAGCAGTCAATTAACACAAGAGCATGAAGATAAGCAACAACAGTGGAGGAATGTCTAAGAGTGAAGGGGGCTATTCGTTCAACCGTTGGGTTCCTCTCATATAGGTATTATATATTTTAATTGAGCCTTGAATCGCACTCAGGCAAAGGTCACCGAGGTCACGGGATGAAAAACATAGGCGTCGTAGAGATTGTGAACTTGCTCTCTCCAGAATACCTCTGAATGTAAGGACGACTGGTGTTTGTCGAACACTGGTAATGATATATCCATTGGATGTGAGGAAACGCTTGATCGACGCGACGGTTCGCTCATTGCCGTATTTTGATATTTTTAACAGGCGGCTGGCGTAGGTGTTTCCGTCGTCCGATACAGTGACGTCTAGAACATAAGCAATTGAGTCACGTATAATTATGAAATCAGGTTTGCAGTAGGTTTTTTCTAGAGGAATGCAGGGCTCCTGTAAGAAATGGATTTTTTGCCTACGCAGTTTCTTTGCCACAAGGTTGCATAGTTCGTTATGGCGTTTGCATCTGATGTCATGGGTGAGCGCGCAATGTTGGAGAATGTGGTGGATTGTTTCATGATGGGCACAACCGCCTCGACAGTTCAGGCCATTCGTCACTCTACCTCCGCGAGATCTCCTGACTTTGGTGGATAGTAAGCCACCTCGTAATTTAACGGCGTTGATGTAAACAGATGGAAAAATAGACTGGGGGTAGCGCAGCCATGCATGGGACTCGGTGCTTAGTGGTGCTAGGAGAAGTCCTTTCCCGTCGCAGGACGAATGTAATCGTCTCACCCAGCTGTTGGAAGCCTCTTCTCTAGACGTTACGGTCTCATGCCCAATTCGAACTGGCAGTTGACTAAGGTGTGCATAAGAAGCTAGTGTTGGGGAAGTTGGCAACTTGTGCAGTAGGCGGTTCGGTGAAGATAGGAGGGTTTCTAGACGTTTACGACGGTGGAATGGAACCGATGAGGACAGATGGGGGATCCCTAGGCCTCCGGCAGCGACGGGTGAGTGAAAATATGCTAGCGGGGTGTCGGAGGGTAGCCGCAACCATTTCCTTATGGCCGTGTGGATATTTCGGTCCATTGACTTCAGGGTGTTCAGGTGTACTATTCCTAGAGTCAGGGGGTAGAGGAGTCGAGGGAGTAGATTATCTTTCAAGATCTTCATGCGCTGCTGCGGCTTAAGTGGAGCGCACGATATTTCCGTGAGGTAGTTGTTCAATAAGTCAATATGGGCTACTGGGCATCGGCCCTTGAAGTTGAATTTGATACCCAGGTAGTCGAAGGTGTCGGTGGCAGAAAGCGGTGGTATACGCATCCCCGCGATGGTGAATTCTGTCTGAGAGAGCGCTGTGATTTTGGAATGGCCACCAGAGATCAGGTCCAGGGTCCGGCTTTTTTCCGGGTTAACCGACCATCCAGCCTCGTGTAGAAGTATGGAGATCCGATCGAGTTTCCGTTGAAGGAGTTCTGCATTTGGAGCGAAAACTACGAGATCGTCGGCATAAGCTATGTAGTTCAAGCTCTCTCCATCAACCGTTAGGTGGGTCGTTGGATCTAGACCTTCCAGTACTTCGTCGAGAACCATGATGAAGAGGAGTGGCGACAGGGGGTCTCCTTGCTTCACCCCACACGTAGGATGCAATTCAGTGCGGTTGACGCAGCTGATTGAACGTCGGTAATAGTTATTGAGGTAGCGGCATAACAATTCAGGTGCCCCATATCTTTTCGCCGCTCTGATGATGGAGTCATGTGATACAGTGTCAAAGGCCCGTGATATGTCGAGCAGGGCGAAGGATGCTCCTGTATGGCGGGTGTGGACGTGCCGTATGACCGAGTGCAGAAGATTAACTGCTTCAAAGCATCCATCTCGGTTTAGGAAAGCGAACTGAAGTCGTTCCTGTGGAAAGAGCGGCATCCATCTCTTAGCTAGAATTTTGTGCAGGCACCTAGTGGCTACTGGAGCGACACTGATGGGACGGAAGTCCTCAGGTGACATAGGACTTGATGACTTGGGGACGAAAGTTACCCGTGCTGTTGAAAGATTAGTGGGAAGGTATGCAAGAGCGAGTATCATGTTGAGATATCCAGCAAGACCATTCTTACCGAATCTCATCAGATCGTACGATGTCAGACGATCAATCCCACCGGCCGTGCCATGCATTGCTTTCAGCGCCCATGTGACGTCAGAGGGGAGGATCGGGTCAATGAGAGAGGGAGTCATAGAGATGATTGGAGTAATCTCCCGGCTGTCTGGGGAATTTGTTTTAGTAAAGACTGTTGTCCAGAAGCAGTCGAAGTCTGGAATCATTGAAGGGTTTGCGACCGAGGGGTTTCTCCACCGACCGTCTAGAACGGTGTTGGCGGCATCTTTGGGACGGTGGTGGAAGAGTGTCTGGATGTGTGCATACTCTATTTTTCTCCTTTTCTTCCTAGAAACATTAGCTGGGGCGTGGGAGGGGTGTTTGGGTCGGGATGGGGTCCATGTTCTAGGGAAGATGGATTCTGCATGACTATTGAGGAAGGTGGACACGTGTTCCTCGTCCATTAATGTGGATTCGTTCTGGAGGAAGGCGAGCAGGCTGGAGGACTGTATGCGAGTACAACTGCTTTGTAGTAGGCTGGCGGATGCCCTCAGGAGTTTGCTTCTTTGTTCAGCTAGGGGGTCCTGATAACTGTGGAAGCATAAGGGAATAGTTGATGAGGGAGTAGCCCCTAGTGTCTCATCCTGATCGCAGGCATACGTTGGCGGTGTATGCATTGAGTTCCTATTAGATTCATGGGAGGTCTGTGATTCGGATATGTTTTGTAGTCTAGTCGGGGATGGAAGCGGTGTCAAGATAACAAGGAGTTCTGGAAGTGGATGTGTCGATGCGTTGGGGGTTGTGGCATCAGACAATGGTGGATGTTCGTCTAGGTCTACCGGAAAAATACAACGGGCCTCGGTATTGGGGATGTCTGTGACTGTGTGATTATTCGAAGAGGTAGTAATCGCTATTGGTGATCTCGACCACTGTAGGTGGAGGAGTCGGCGTTTGACGGCTTCTGCCGTCCTGCGTGTTAGTATAGTGCTGATATGTTGGCATAGGTCAGTCTTCGTGGGGAATCTATGGGCTTCATGGTTAGCGATGGATAGTAAAGAAGCATCATCGAATGGTGACCATATGCGTGACGTCGGCTGCACTGCAATTCGTTGCCGTATTAGTTCGTTATATTCGGAGATGTGTCGGTGGCGAACGTGTTGTGTTAATCCCCTGTTAGATGAAAAAGCCGCGGCGCAAAGAACACAAGACATCTGCTGAGAACCGTCTTGCATTGGAGTAGGAGGACAAGGAATATGGTGGACTGCAGTGGCATGAGATAGGAGTAGGTGGTGGGTGGGGAAGATAGCGAAGCATATAAGGCAAGTTGAAGAGGAGTCAGGAATTGTGTAGTTGGGCGGGACGATTGATGATGCAGGAATAGGCAAAGAAGAGGATATGTCAGCTTCTGCGCTGGTTGAGACCGGCATAGTTATTATATAATTTTTTAACATAACTGACAGACCAGTTGAACCGTATTTCGGGTACTACTAGCAGGGGAGGACGAATTCGTTGATTGAATTTCGCGTCACGGACCGTTCATAGGCCCTCTCCGTGACTAATGATGAGAAAATTAGACCAGAATTAAAACGTGAGATGAAGAAGTAAGTGGTACAGTTGGTATAGAATAATGTTGACAAAAGCACAAGGAATATTTGCAGAATAGAATCACAACTGTTGTTGTGGATAAACAGCAAAAAGTAGCAGTTCAGAAAGTGGGTAGTTTCTGAGCCTTCAGGTTGTAAGAAGCACTCAGACAGTAGTGGTTCAAAAAATAAATTAAAACGTGAGATGAAGAAGTAAGTGGTACAGTTGGTAAAGAATAATGTTGATAAAAGCAAAAGGAATATTTGCAGAATAGAATCACAACTGTTGTTGTGGATAAACAGCAAAAAGTAGCAGTTCAAAAAGAGGGTAGTTTCTGAGCCTTCAGGTTGTAAGAAGCACTCAGACTGTAGTGGTTCAAAAATAAATTAAGACGTGAGATGAAGAAGTAAGTGGTACAGTTGGTATAAAATAATGTTGACAAAAGCACAAGGAATATTTGCAGAATAAAATCACAACTGTTGTTGTGGATAAACAGCAAAAAGTAGCAGTTCAGAAAGTGGGTAGTTTCTGAGCCTTCAGGTTGTAAGAAGCACTCAGACAGTAGTGGTTCAAGAATAAATTAAAACGTGAGATGAAGAAGTAAGTGGTACAGTTGGTATAAAATAATGTTGACAAAAGCACAAGAAATATTTGCAGAATAGAATCACAACTGTTGTTGTGGATAAACAGCAAAAAGTAGCAGTTCAGAAAGTGGGTAGTTTCTGAGCCTTCAGGTTGTAAGAAGCACTCAGACAGTAGTGGTTCAAAAATAAATTAAGACGTGAGATGAAGAAGTAAGTGGTACAGTTGGTATAGAATAATGTTGACAAAAGCACAAGGAGTATTTGCAGAATAGAATCACAACTGTTGTTGTGGATAAACAGCAAAAAGTAGCAGTTCAAAAAGAGGGTAGTTTCTGAGCCTTCAGGTTGTAAGAAGCACTCAGACAGTAGTGGTTCAAAAATAAATTAAAACGTGAGATGAAGAAGTAGGTGGTACAGTTGGTATAGAATAACGTTGACAAAAGCACAAGGAATATTTTCAGAATTGAATCATTAATAGCATATCCACTGCGGACTATACCCGGACTATATCATATATGAACAAGACAATAAACACACGCGTGTCTACTGAATAGGTAATGATAAGCGCGTCCATGCGTTGATATGCATACTAGTAATAGCATAAGCACGTGCATATGTGTTAACATGAACATACACTTATAACATATACACATATATGATATTCATATATATGCATATGATACAAATGTAATGCACAAGACAACACATATACACATACGTTACACCAACATATATGCACATTCGCATAGATGCAGATCATTGCAAGTATACCATACATGAACACATGAAATACACAAGTCAAGACTTATGCATCTCATAGTATACACATAGGTATAGATGCTCTAACCAGACCGAAGCCCAGTACCATAAGGGAAATGATAGAGGAACATGTCCTCAAATCATTACGTCAAGCAGGGATAGGATTCAATGCCCCCCTAACAAGACAGGAAGTCGTCAATTGACGATTTAGTATCCTCACGCTCATACCACAATTAGATATCGTGTCGACCCCCGTACCCCGAAATCCGGAGCACGGTTTATGGTCATCGCTCTGGCATAACACCAGACCTAATGGGCCTAGCCGAACACATGGTCCAGTCCAGACACCAAAAGGAATACGTAAGCTTGCCCAGCCACGTGTCGGATACAGGATGTACCGTTGCAAGATTTGGATGAGAATCAGACCTTGGGGCGATCAGTCCTTCTCTTGTCCCATCGACCAGGTACATTATCAGACGAGGCCATTGGCTATAAGCCAAGCCCGTTCCCTTGGCTGTGGTTTCGCTAGATAGTAGATAGGGACTAATTAGATGACGAGGCATTTGGCTACCTTAAGAGAGTCATAGTTACTCCCGCCGTTTACCCGCGCTTGGTTGAATTTCTTCACTTTGACATTCAGAGCACTGGGCAGAAATCACATTGCGTCAAAACCAATCAGTGGACATCGCAATGCTTTGTTTTAATTAGACAGTCGGATTCCCCTGGTCCGTGCCAGTTCTGAGTTAGCCGTCGCGCGCCAGACCATGGAAGTACAGCCGCTTGACGCAACGTGGAACAAGTCCTCGCGCGTTGCTAGCTGCACGACACTAACAGCTGAAACCGCCCACGATCGACCCGGGTCAGAGTCCAGTAACCTCACCACAACGCGCACCGAAGCACACAAAGCAGCAAAGAAACCAGCCCCCAACTGGACCGACACGTATCTGATCTCGGCCTGTCTGACTCGGCCCCCAGAGCCGAAGAAAAAGAAAAATTCTATCTCAAGCTAAAAGACACAATTAAAAAGCTTAAACTAAATAAACTTCCTATACTCATCCTGGGAGACTATAATTGCAGGCTAAGCCAGGACCTTCATACTTACTACCCTAACATTATAGGGAAAGCTATTAAACTTGAAACTGAAACATCAGAAAATGGCATGAAACTAATAAACTTATGTAAAACTTTAAACCTGCGAGTAATGAACTCGTTCATCACTAAACCAGAACACAGGACCCATACCTGGGTACACCTGAAGACCCAAGTGGGACATGTCATAGATCTAGTGATAACAGAAAATAATTCAAAACTATTGGTCTGTGATATTCATAACAGCCGTTCTATGGAAGCAAACACAGATCATTATATGATCACAACCATACTGAAACTAAAGTATCTAAATAATAATAAGACTTCTAATAATAAAAGTAAACCCAAAAGAAAACAGAGTAAGGCGATCCACGCCTTGACTCCAGACTACCCAAAGATACTAGACACTTTACTCCAAAATAAATGCCAACTAAACCAAGTAGAAAGAGCCATAACTCAAGCAGCTAACAAAGCTGCTATCCCATATAAGTCGGCCACCAAGAGATGGCAGTATAACATAAGCAATCTATTAAAAGACGAAATTAAACATAGAAGACAACTAAGACTAAAGTGGCTAAATAACCCTACAGCTGCTAATAAAAGCCTCTATATGCAAGCTAGTAAAATAGTGAATAATAAGATTAAACTAGCTAAAGACCAGTATATCAAAGATAAAATGAATGAGATGAACACATACTTTAAAAAGCATGACCTGCACTTAGCATACAAAATGGTAGATGATATACTGGCTACTATACGAAACCACTCATACAAAGCTAAAAGAGCTAATCAAATTAAAGATAGTGATCTTCAATATCACTACCAAAACCTATTCAATGCTAAACTAAACCAAGATAACATCCAATTGCCGGTAAAAACCACCAACGACTCTGAACTTACTATAAATGAAATGAATCAAAGTTTGAAAAAAATGAAAAATCAAACTACGCCTGGCAGTAATGGCATAACTAGCGAAATGATAAAGCAAGGTGGTGATAAACTAAATAACATACTACTGAAAATCATGAATCACATATGGAAAAATCCATGCACTATGCCAGACCACTGGATAGATGCAGATGTAATAAGTATATATAAAAATAAAGGTTTAAGATCCGACCCAAACAACTATAGAAGTATCTTCTTACTAGATACGATAGGAAAGCTATTTGCAGGCATAGTCTGCAATAGACTTGTCCAACTAACAGATAAATATCTCCCAATAACCCAATTTGGTTTTAGGAAAAATCTGTCCACAGTCCAAGCAATAACGACCTTAAGACATATAATTCAATCCTCTATAGACACAAATAGTACTATAGTCCTCACCTTTGTGGACTTAACTAAAGCGTTTGATACGATACCCAAACAAATAATCCTAAATACTCTAAATAAACTATGCCCTTCAAAAAATATAAACTCCTGTATAACCAAACTATTAGATGACCCCAAGGGTTATCTAAAAAATTCAGAACTAAACTTCACGATGAAAAGGGGAGTGAGACAGAGTAGTAAAAAAGGTCCGGCTATCTTTAACTTAGTCTTTCAAAAAATATTAGAACAAACGATAGACAAAACCCTAAAAGGAGTGACTCTTAAAGACCAATATAACAAGATTTCGACAATTAAACATTTAGAATATGCAGACGATTTATGCTTAATCACTAACACAACGGAGGAGGCTACCAAAGCCTTAAACCACCTACAACAATACTTAACCAGTATTGGTATGGAGATATCAATCTCCAAGACTAAATATATGTTAATAAATAAAAAAGCTATCACATCAAATGTCAAAATAAACAACAAGGATATCGAAGAAGTAGAATCCTTCCACTATCTTGGATCTACCATAAATAACAAAGGTACTCCGGATAGTGCTGTCACCTATAATATAGAAAAAGCAAAAAATGCAATAATTAAAATTAAACCAATACTTAAATCTAAAGAACTCAACCTTGATACCAAAGCCAAGATGGTGGATTCCTTAATAATCCCCATTCTCACATATGGTCTAGAATCAATAGTACTAAGAAAGCAAGATTGGTCTAGACTAGAAGCGGTGTTAAATACAGTAAGACGGATAATTCTAAATATAAACGATAGAAAACAATATACTGTTGAGCAACTTAAACTTAAAATAAACTTACCAAACTTAGCCAGTAAAATCATGCAAAACAGACTAAACTTGTGGTATGTAGCGCATAAAAGACCAAATAACCTAATGGTGAGGTCTTTAAATAGCAACTTTGAAAACCAGTGCAACAATAGGAAGGCCCATACTAAAAACTGGCTAAGACAACTATTTCAAGACATTAAAGAAATGGGTGAGCGCCTTCCTAGTAACTGGATAAACCAACCCAACAAGGTTAAAATAAACGCATATCAAGAGCACTTTCCAAAAATAATAGGGAAACGTCAGCTGAACCATGTATGCCAAAATGCAAACTGTAACAGAATGTTTGCTACAATTAAAGAAATGAACAGACACTTTAGAAACGATCACCAAAATAAAACTAATAAAGAGTCCCAATATAGCTGTCCCTTAACTGACTGTAATAAAACGTATAAGACGTTGGGTTGGTTAAATAGACACATGCAGTCATGCCATCCTTCGAATGCCGATGGTGCCGGTATCGGGCGCGATCAAGGATCGGCCTTGGTCAACATGTGCGGCAGAAACATGTGACTGCATACAATGACATTAAGCGATCGAAAATC